CCTCATTAGATCATTTTAACAAGACTTTATTTATTTCCTGACAATGTTTCGAGTCGCTTTCTGTTGTAAGTTTTCAGCGTGGTTCATAAATAACAATTTATAATTCCAGGGTTTGTTATTACTTTTCTCAGAGAGCGTTAGCGTTCTATCGCTTCGCAAACAGATCTCTTCTGGTCCGGCAATATTTTATTTGTAAATCAGATTGTCGAGATTCTACATCAGGGGAATTAAATGTGAATTATTGGATACAAATTCGAAGGACGTATTTATTGAAGTGTTAATTAACTATATTATTATTATGAACGTAAAGCCTAAAACCATTATTCTTTATTTTCAACATGGAAGTTACTTTCACATAATCAAAAAATCTGTATTCATAGAAAAACTGTATAATTAAACAAACGAAAATACAAAATTTCAAAGTTTCTAAACATTTTGGTATAACTTATAATAAATTGATGTATGTGATTTTTTATATAGTGTAATGAGTGTAAGTATATTTATTAATTTCACATTGGATACATTACAAAAATCGCAAAAACTAAAAACTAGATTTTTTTTCAGATCTTTGCTTTTCAAAGGTTTCTGAACATTTTGGCATACTTTAGAAAAAAATGATGCATATGCGTGTATGTATGTACGTTTGTATGTATATATGTATGCATGTATATATATGTATATATATATGTGTATATATGTGTGTATGTATATGGGTATATATGTAGTTATGTATGTGTGTATGTATATGCAGATACAATTTTTCCCCAAAGTTCTCAATAGCACGGATCAACCGATTTGAATGATTAAAAGAACATTCGATTCCTATTGATGGGGAGAGATTTCTATTGGTTTTTGGTCGTTTTTTTACTTTTTGCTCCGTATCTCGAAAAAGACTGGACCTGTAAGTATAGATAATAATCTAATTGAAACTGTTTAAAACAATTATCATTGATGAATTATCAATTATTAATTGATTATCTTTATTACTCGAATATTTATTTACGGTACGGGATGTTACTACAAATTGCCTTAGAGCACAATGCCATGCACCACTAGCTTGTATTAATAAATTATAACTACTGAAGAAAATTCATATTTTATACTTATTAGGTGAATAAAATAAAATCTTTATGTTGATGGTGTTGAACTCAATAATAATGTAAAATGTAAAAAATGTAAATACAATGTTATAAATCTTAAAATTTAATTTAGGATTTTTTTATTCCAAACTTCATTCAATTACTTATATTATCTGTACACGTATGAAAATTTTGATAAATTTTGATGAATTAATCTAAGGCTTTGAAATATCTAAATTAATTTTGAAACTATAAAAAAGAGAGTTTCTCAATAAATCTTTTAAAATTGTAAAAAAGTTGTAAAGCGTCTATGTTTATAATAAGTTGCCCCAGGATAAGTAATACACAAATTGCAATTATACAGATTTTAAATGCTTTATGTTTAACCTAGCTTATAATTAATTGAATTAATCTTTATAAATATTATTTATAAGTTTGTAGAAAAGCAAGTATATATTGCATTGCATAATTGGTAAAATATAAATTAATTATAAGCACAAATAATTATTTTTATAAAATATAAATTTTCTAGAAACAACATTTTTTTATTTTCTTTAACAATTTCCGTAACGTATTAAAAATATATCCATTAAAGTAAAACTTCTACATTTTGCAACGGCAGGATTACAGAACCTGCATAAAAACAATAAATCATAATACTGAAACTAACAAAATCTCGGCTTAGATGTTTTATATTGCTTTGCATACAAATTCATAAAATAATAAACTCTTTCTATAAAGTAAGTATTTTTGCATTGGGTTTTTATTTGTTTTATTCGTAAGCCGGCTCCGGTTTCCTCGGCATAAATCCTTGGGAATGTTTTCCGTATATTTGTTTGTTCGTTTTTTTCTCACTCGTATACCTCGTTTTCTCTCTATTAAGTGCCATAATTCTTCCACCAGAATAATATGAGAATAGCACAATCTGATTTTATCATAGAATTGTTCGACGGGTATTGTCTTCTTTGATTCAAATATTATTGTTACAAAATTGTTAACCAAGATAATGGAAAAATATTCCGTATTATATAATTATTACTTAGGATTTGAATTATCATTGTATTGTTCGGTTTTAGTAGATATAAAATTTCCATAAATCAGGCTTTTGTGTTGAACCTTATTATTATCATAATTACACGGATCGCACTATTTTTTTTTCGATTCAATACAGTACTTTGTTCTACATGAAATTTGTAAATAAGCACCAAAATATTCTGTTCACCAATTTTCCACAACCAGTTTTTAATTATTTCAAACATAAAGTTATTGACAATAAATAAAATTAATGATTCTCATACTCGGATATAAAGTTCCGACAAATATGATATATATATATATATATATATATATATATATATATATATATGTATGTATAGCGGGTTGTCAACACGCATCGCGGCTCGTCAACACGCATCACATGTTACTGGACAGATTGGCCCATATAGTGACAGCACGGAGAAAAACAAAAGGAAATTCAAGTGTCAGATCGAACATGGCTTTTGTTTCTCCCTAGTAGTTTTTGCCAAAAAAATGTATAATTCTTGAAACCTTTCTTTTCTATTATAAATAAGAAAATACCAATAACGTTTTATTAATGATCAGTATGACAACACATAGTGTCGTGGATATTAATCATATATAAAATAAACGAAATATAAATAATATTTTATGAAATTTATCATTGTCTATCATTTTGGTATTTAATATGGACCACACCTCCATATATGTATATACATAATTATATGAATAAGTTATTAGCATAACTTCATTACATCATCATAATAAATTTAGCCTACTGACGTATTACGAACTTATAAAACATTCTGATATAAGTATGATACTTTTTGACGATCTTTACGATTTTTTTGACGGTAGATACCATAGTCTTCTAGATCATACTAATATATTATGGCCCTACGACAAGTCGTTTATTTTTGAAAATTTGTCCAAGTTTGCAAAAATTAGTAACGTCTATTTGGTGTTTGTAAAATCAGACCTTTCATCGACGTTTTCTCAAAAACGTCTGAACCAATTTCAGAAATTTAGAATCCATTTGATGTATCTCGATGAGGGTTATCATTCGTCAGTTTTATGCGACAATCTGTCGAGCCGTTTCTTTATAATTTGGGAAAAGGTGTTCAACTCGAATCGAATTTAAAAAATCAAAAATTGTTCGAATCATTAATTGGAAATGATGCTGATTAGTTTAAGATAAAAATCAACCGAGCCGTTTTGAGCCTGTATACTATTCTACTATTTTTCCTTAGAGGTTATTTGACCACTATTGAAATTGCCCTTTTTTATTTTTCTTAGAAGAAATTATCAACCGTTACTTATAATCATCTGTAAGAAAAGTGTGTGAATGTAGATGTGTAGATGTACAGATTTATTTCAAGTTAACAGATTAACAAATTAGCATATGTATATCTATTATCGTTATCACTTCAAACAATAATTATGTATTCATGAAATAAATTTAAGTATACTAATTGTTAATAAAGTAAAACTGCAAAAGAAGCAGTTAGATATAATTTATTCCATTCTATTTTTCACTGCCTAGAATATGATATAGGTTATAAGTACTTAGTATATATGATAAAATATAGTCAACCACATATCTGATAAAATTCATTTTAACCAATATTTCACGATTGAAATCTTCAAAGAAATATATATTGCTACGTTTTATTAAAAATATGTTCACCCGCAGACTTGCAAGCTGAATTTCGAATTAAAACATCTGAAACCGTCAAAGCACAATAATTATATCATCGTAAACTCAGAGAAATAATATGCCCGATGACTTTATATTCAATTATCTTATTAAATAATCAGAAACGAATTCAATATTTTAATTAGTTCATAACTTTCCAAAGAGGAAATTAAATTAAGGGGAGTTTTCCAAATCTTTGCGCTTCATTTATGCGGCACATGAATATATAAATACACATACATTCAAATTTCTATAAGGATTTATATATATATATATATATATATATATATATTTATAATGAAGTATATTTCATACTAAAATTTAATAATTTGAGTTACCTTAATTAGGCAGTTATTTGTATTGTAGTATAATTCGACTTATATGTTCAGTGAATAGCAAACTGTTAATTTGCTTCTGAGAAAATAACATTTCAATGTGATAAAAATGCTGATATAAAAATCGAAATATGATTTTATAAAAAAAATGGAAACAGAATAAAAACCAAATGACAACACATTGTGGATATTCAATTTTAGTATTGCTTTTTAACCCGCATCCGTCCCTAGTATCAATTTGATACAAATTCAAAATTCAAACTAAAAAAAAAAGGGATACGTATAAATATTTGGATTCGAGTTTTTGGCTACCTTCCTAACTATTCTAAATGAACAAAAAAAAACATTCAATGCATGTGCGTGACGTCATGGAAAGGCCCTACAAAAAATGTTACAAATCGGTTCTTTGTATCATATTGATACATTATTGGTGTGTGGCACATACAGCTGTATAGAGTATAGTATACGTACATATATCGTTCTACTTATTTTTTGGTATTGTGGTTCAAGTGATGACGATGAGGATAACCAGCCAATTGATGCTGAAACTGAAGAGGAGGGTGAGGAGAGCGAAGATGAATTGGTGTGTGCCACTCAAGAAGAGCGTGAGCAAGCAATTCTTCAACCGAATACATGGATTTTATCGAAAGACAAAAAAATTCAATATTCGAGAGATGATTGTCCACCAGATACTCGAAGAAATTCAATACCAACAATTCATAAAGGTATGTTTTTTATGGCTTGTCGTTGATCATATGAAATAACACATTTGTGTATGTTTAGGTCCAACTACATATGCTACTTCACGTATCACTTAATCCAGTTTCTGCATTTTTGCTATTTCTGAAACCAATCGAGACGATTGTGCTTGATATGACGAATTTGTATGGTCTAAGGAAATTCAAAGAGACATGGGAAAACATCGATTTGGTCACCTTACGAGCTTATTTTGGTTTGCTATTATTGGCGGGTGTTTACCGTTCGAAAGGTGAATGCATGACTGAATTGTGGGATGACAAGCGTGGACGGCCGATATTTAGAGCAACAATGTCGTTGAAATACTTCAAGTATTTGAATTCATGCATACGTTTCGATGACAAAGAGAATCGACTTGATCGACTTGCAAGAGATAAGCTCGCTGCGATTCGTAATGTTTTCGACAAATGGAATAAAAATTTGCGAACAATGTATGTGGTTGGCGATTGCGTTACTGTCGACGAACAATTGATTCCGTTTCGTGGCAAATCACCGTTCACACAATACATCCCATCTAAACCGTACAAATATGGCATAAAAGCATGGGCGTTATGTGACTCGCGTACATTTTATGCATACACATGCAAATCTACACCAAAAGTAGATAACAACGCAACATGCAAATCTACACCAATAGTAGTAAAGTTGGCAAAGAGCTGAAACAACGCAAGATGACGATCGTTGGCACCATAAGGAAGAACCGCAAAGAAATACCACCGATTCTATTGGACATGAAGCGAAAGCCACAATACCATTCAGAGTTTATGTTCGATCATAATTTGCGCCTTACTATGGTCTCATATATACCGAAAAAAAACCGGTGTGTTACTCTTTTGAGTACACTGCATACAAAAAAATTATTGTACGACACCCAAGATCCTTCCAGTTCAAGAGCAAGTGGGTATTAGAAAAAATTACCACCGGCAAACAAAAGATCCCGTTGTCATATCTGTACATCGAAAAATAACTCGAATTTGTACAGAAGTCGCTGTGACATGTGTAAAAAGTACATTTGTGCTCAGCATTTCTTCAAAATTTGTGACAAATGCACGTAATTTTTACATTTTTGTTATTTTAGAAATACTCACAAATAAACAACCTTTGATCAACAACAAAAACAAATCGATTTGTTTATATTTTTGTATGATTTATGCCTGTTTTTCTAGCCTGTATCAAATTGATACATAGGAACTTTAACGTTTGAAGTTTTAAGGGACGGATGCGGGTTAAATCATCAACATCATCATCAAATGGCTAACATTTAACCTTTTTTTCTGTACCTTTATTACAAGATTGATATGTATGTCATAATTCAGCAATTAAGCATAAACTACATGGAATTTGATACTAAAAGTGCAAAATTACATAAAAATATGTGAAATGCTCTGAAATTATTTTGTAAGTCCAACAAGTCGATACTAGATCGAAAATATGCTTGAATTTTTCTTTTTTTTTGTAAGACAAAACTTTTTCTTTGTATAAATCATATTGAGTTGTAAGGTTTCATAAAAAATTAGACGATTAAAAATAAATTATTTAACAAGGAAAAATATAACAAATATTACTAACCTATTTTAAAAATTAAAATAAGTAAGATAATGAACAGAGAAAAATTTTAATGTCTAAACCAAAGGAACTACAATATAAAATGTAACACGTATACAATGAACAACTATGTTCAGTAAAACTTTCAGGTAATATTTAGTTATAGAATTTTTTCTTTTTACATTTTTCTATAATTTGGCATTTGTCCCTTTTTACAAATTCAATGTCATATTTTCAATCTTAAAAAGGTTTTACATTGCTACATTATTGAACCAATGCAAAAATTAACTACTTGAACACATTTTTACAAAAATCACTGTATATGTATATATATATATATATATATATATATATATATAATATGTATATAACCTAGATCAGGCATTTTAACAGATTTGTTTAACAACAGAATTGAAATAAATTATAATATTATTATTCATCTTTCGTAGTATTGCTATTTTAACAAAATTTACTTTTTCAAATACCATTTACTTATTATTTACACTTTTTCTAGTGTGAGGGTTAAGTTGGTCCTTTTTACCCCAATTACATGTACACTTCTAAAGAAATTATATACATAAAATTGTAAAATCTAGGTTTTATAATAACAAAATAAACTAAAACAATTAAATAACATATACTTAAAAACAAAATTTATCTTCTGATAACGTCGTAAAAATTATGGTGGTTACATATTTTTTTTGTCTTCTACATCAAAATAGTATCGTTAAAAACTTATATACTTTAGTGTTTTTTTTAGATAATGGCGGTAAACCCTTTTACCCATGGACATTTGAGCCCTTATAACCTGTAGAGTAAATACGTATCTACGTATATTTTCAGATTCGCGATTTCTTGTCTTTTTTATAAAGTAATTTTTTTTGGTGAAGTTATTGATACGCCTACCAATAGTTATTGAGAATCATAAAAATCCAAGAAATTTGAAAAAAAAAATCCAATTTGCAATGTTTCCAAGCGTATTCATCGTGTCAATCCTCGGAACATACTTCGTCCATAGCAATGGTGCATATTCACCAAAAGGACCAGATGAAAATCATTCGCAATCGAAAGCAGACGATATGCGTTAGCTCGAAAACTATCTACATACGAGTAGAAATGCATTTTAACGTATCTAAACCATTTTATATGTCGTTTTTCACAACTCTATTTTTTGGGTTCAAACATTCTCTTTGTGGCCTGATGCTACACTGCTATGCGTATCCTATCGCTCGGTCGCAATATTGAAAGATGTGAAGCGGTTATTGCATTTCTCACTCGAAACATGAAACTTTTGTTTAGCAAATTTTATTGTATATTTTCATTATTGTCTTTTTGGATATTTTCAGAAAACATGCATGTAATATTGAATTTATAAATTTTATATTTTACTCATAGAACAATATAAAAAATTAGATATATTACAATAGTTTTCTGCAAATGCATAATATAAATAGTTTTAATTAATATTTTTTTGAATTGAAGGATTGAAAATAACAATTCTTTTCTTAGCCTTTATAAAATTGTTAATATTAATATTAATATTAAGATATTGATTTTTAAACAGCATAAATCACTTTTCGAATTATAAACACCCATGCAGGAACACAATAATTGAGATTACACGTCTCAATGTTTTCATGTTTGGGGTAAAATTTACATGATTCATAGTTTGCAGGCTGGGCATACATCATTATACATAATGACGTAGAATGGGCATCACTACACTTCAAACATACATATAGCCGATTACAGTAAGTTCTGGAATGCCCATAAAATAGACAACGATGACCCTGAAGAATATACTTATTGTTACATGTTCTGAATAGCTCAAAGTAACTTTAACTAATTTTAAAAATTGAGTAATTTGAAGTGAAATATTCAGGTTTGCAACTTATATCAACATTCAGCAATGTTTCTTTAACTTTAACTTTTTATACAAGAACCCCGATGTAAAAGTTTTGTCTGCTTCATATCAAGTTACGTACGGTTTCAAGACTAATGCTATTAACGCATAACCACGAAAAAGCTACTTGAAATTGAAGTATATTAACAAGTTCAAGATTACATACTTGTGAAAATGAATATTTGTTTCAACAATAATAAGAATTAAAGATAATTTAAATAAATGTCCCCTTAGTGGCGTGGGTGGCATCGTGCCTTAAGGCAAATTGCTGGAACTTCCCGTACCGTAACGAAATGTTCGAGGAATACTGAATGTTTTCAAACAGATTATTATAAATATTGTAACATTGTCTAATATTTATAAGAATTATATTAACTGAATTGCAAAGTTGAAATTATTTGTTTCAACAAAAAACTAAAAAAAAAAAAATCTAACAAAATTTTTTTTTCCAAAATCAATTATTTTGTTAAGACAAGCAGAGTTTTTTGAATCATTCAAATCGGACGCTTAGTTCTCTCAAAAAACTGCCATTTTTTACATATTTAGCTCCGTATCTTCGAAATGGCTGGGCCTGCCTTTGCCAAAAACTAATAAACACTTCTCCCAATCATTACTAATTGAATGTTTTTTAGATCATTCAAATCGGATACTCCGTTCTCCCAAAAATTCGATTTCTATTTTCCGCACTCTTCGCTCCGTATCTCCGAAACGGCTGGACCTGCCTTTGCCAAAAACTAATCAGCTCTTTCCCTATCAATAGGAATCGAATGTTTTTTGAACCATTCAAATCGGTTGATCCGTGCGCCCTAAAACGTGACTGGAAATTTGTATCCACACATACATACACACACACACATACACACACACACACATCCATTTTTTTTGAGGTATGCCAAAACGTTCAGAAACCTTCAAAACGTCGAGAAATGTAAAAATTTTCAATTCCGATTTTCGGCCCATTACAATAACTTACCCTACGGGAAGTTAAAAATATACGTAATGAGCTGCTGTATAAAATTTGAGATACATTTAATGGTTGAATCAAATTTCCGAAATCTTTTAATGTACTTTTTTCTAACAGCTCTGATTTCATCCTTCTCATATCTAACATAGTATAAGAGATTAAGTGTTGTATTTAGTATATTTACATTTTAACAATTCTTTTATTAAATTAGCGTACAAATTGATAGTATAATTCTCACAGAAGTCATCAAAGTAATAGGAAAACCCTCTGTTCAAGACAAGGTAAGGTATATGCTAATTGAATGTCATTAATTATGACTAATTCCACGTACGATGTACGTGCAGAGCAACACAATATCTACAGAGAATTTGAAATCTTCATTTTCTATTAAACATGAAAAGATTTGATTTTAGTCACAAAAATATATACCTACAAGTTTAATTGATTATCAGAAAAACGAAAATTATGAGATTCCTATTTTAGAATAAGATTCATTTAATTTGATTCTGGGTAGAAGGTTGGGAATCATAAATACAGCTACTTCGCAAACGTTTAGCTTCGATTATTGTATCAATATATAATAAGTAATGATTAAATTTATTTTATTTTTATTAGAATTTTATTAATGTCCGATTTCAAATAATTCTGTTTTTTCATCATTATCTATGTGCTAGTGTGAAACTATGGTGGACTGTATGTGTGATTTAGAGAAAATCTGTCAAAATATGAATACACTATGGAAGTAACACTCGTCTTATTTTAGGAAGTTTAAATTCTGAATTTCTTAAAACAAGTAGCATTGCTTGCGATGTAGTAAAAAGCCTTAAATTTCAAACCATTTCGTATATAAAATTAAAGTAATACAGAAAATTGATTTATCTGATCATTTTTTTTGCAATTTTAGAATGCAAATTCAAAAAAAAGATCTTATAATAACAAGAAGATGACCCTGAAAAAAATTAGAAAATCCCCCAAATTCACTCGTTGCTCCGTTGTTCCATACACAACAATCAAGAAGACAAATAACTTAATCTAGTGCAACTGCATCAAATAGTACATACCCATTGAGGTAACTACTATATATAAATATATTTTATTATTGCCAATCAAATAGCTCATAGAATATAACTAATGTTCTGAGAAAAAAAGACCTTGTTTGTCAAAACTGATTGGCGCTCCAACATATTATATGTGACAGCGAATTCTACAAATTATTTTTATTTCTATTCATACACTAAGGTGGTACAT